GCAGTAGCGGCTGACTTCGGTGTCCATCCCAATTCTTCGACCTCGTACACTCTAAATCGTTTGCAATTTAAAAAGAAAAAAAAAAAAAAATGGAAAAAAAAGAAAAAAATGACTAAAAGGACTCACGAGGCTTCACGAAGCTGTCAGCGTGGGAAGGAAGAGGCGAGAAAACGTATTTTAAGTCAGAGGATCAGCCGGCAAACGAGAGTCAACATACACGCGGACACACTGTACATTCGTGTAAAGCATAGCGGAGCCTTATTGAGAAAGCAATATGCATCCTTAAAAAAAAACTGCTTAAAAGTATTTTCAAGCTGCTAATTTTACTCGAATAATTAATTCCTATGCTAAGTAAGTGAGCATCGAGGCGTCCTCGAAATATAACGCTTGCCTTCGACGGTTTCCTTGTCGAAATTGATCGAAGGCTACGTTTCGAGTATATAAACCACTAATGTAACCCACGGATAGCACGTTTAATCTTTATGTGTTCTCTCACTTGGCGCACACATGTTTCACTCGTTCGCAATTGATCATCTTGATCGTTTACACTGCCACCTATAATAATCCTTTGTCTATGTATGTGACATTTATTTAAAAAAAAATATTATTTGTTTTTTTTTTAACTCTACTACGTCCTTGGGTTATTTTTGATCAAATTGTGCTTTCAAGAAACATGTATTTTTTAAAAAATATCTAAAGTATAAGAAGGATAAGAAGAAATTGTTATACGGAGGATTTCTCGATTGAATTTTATATTAAAGTAAAGTTTAAAAATATTAAATTGTAAACATTAAAAAATCTGTTTTTTGAAGAACGAGGTATAATGATTTAAGGATCGTAGCAGGGTTAAAACTTTGTAAATTGATATATTTTGACTCAAATACATTCAAAATTAGACAACGTTACATATCGTTGTTACAATATAATATAATAATATATATATTTTAGTAAAAAAAAAAAAAGTAATTATAAATTTTTTTTTCTTTTTTTTTTTCAGTTAAGATAAGGGTTAAAATGAACGTTTCGAATATATAAATTTCAGACTTATATCAATAATTAAATAATAATGTAAAAATTCTAAATGGAAACTGATAACATGATTAAAACAAAACAATGTTTTCCATATAGAATGTAATATAATTTATTTAACGTTCTGATTATAATTGAATATATATATATATGTATTCAAAGAATTAACGTTCTACCGTGGGCGGCAACCAGAGTCCTCTCGACTCCGTATGTAAATACACTTCCGAAAATAGTACGTATGAAAAATTATTCAAAGCCTATACGATACAATTTTCTCCCATTTATTAAATCTCTATTAAAATGTATAATAAAAAAACGTGAACGAATATCCGGTTCCAGCGGTTTCCTCTTCAATACTTTTGTGGTAGATTGAAAACCGCAATGTCGATTTACCGATGAATCGAGCATGTAAATATATATATGGAAAGAGACAAAACAGCGAGGAAACCGAGGGAAACACGGAAGTGCTCGAGAAAAATAGTAGCGGCGCTCCGTATTTTGGCGTAAAGGCTAAGCGAACGCGTAGACTCGTGAAACCGAGCAGGGAGACAGTGGTTTTAGCGAGTCCCTGGACCGTAACATAGGTCACTAATTATAATAATAATATAGGAATATTCCAGCGTTATTTTGTACATAAACAACTTTATCAACGGATATTAAGAAATCATCAATAAATCTATATACAAAAAGACGAGCAATGTATTTTTTATCTCGAATAAATTTTTCCTTCTACTTGTTTCCTCGAATAATGTTTCTTGACATGTTGGATTAATAAAATATATTTAAGAAATTAAATTGATTGATGATAAATTTATAATAATATTTTTTGTTTATATCCATAAATATAGAATGAATAGAAGAGGGATGTATTGAAGTAAATTATTGTTTTGATCGTAAAAAAAAAAATGTAACATTTTATAAAGTACAAACAAGTGGCAAACGCATTCAAATAATATTATGGGATACAAATCAGTAATCGTAATACTGATATTTATTTCACGAAAGATTTAAGTAACAATACAATAATAATACAATAGTTTTACTTTTATATACAAAAGTTATGTTTATGTGCACTGAGGTTTTGGAATAAATATATGTTTTAAAATATACGCAGATTTATATAAAAATTCGAAGCATTATAATGCAAACAACTAAATAGCAAAACACGAAACATTCGGAATGTCTTTCAAAAATTAATGTAACATATTATTATTAAAAAATTATTTTTCACACTTTAAAAAATGATTACATATGATTTTATAATACACAAGTACAAATGATTTTACGAAAATCTGGAAAATAATACACATATCGACAAAAATGATATTTAGTACTTATGACTTGTTTATCTTTCTCGTAAAAACAAATTTGACATTCTACATTACGAATCGCATCGCGGTTTACTTAATTTTCACAAAATGACTATTTCTTTTTTCTTTTCCTTTTTTTTTTTTTTTTTCTTTTTTTAATTGAAATCTTTGGATATTTCAATCAATAAATTATATATAACACGTTGTACAAAGCAACTATTTCACATCACACAGTAGTTACAGATTTTTTCACATAAAATAATTAGTTCTTTTGACCATAGCAATGCTGAGGCCGAGGATACTTGCAAGACCAATAATAACTCCTCCTGCAATGGCCATACCATAAAGTCCTTCTGTAAAAAAAAATATAACTTTCAAATTAATTAAAAGAACTTTTTTATCTTTTTCAAGCCAATAAATTCATGTTATAAAATGCGATTTTGTAAAAAAAAATTAATTTAAAAAATTTTTTTTATAATAATATTTTTATTAAATAAGTAAAATATATACAAAATAAAAAATATAATTTGATTATATAGATTATTTATATATTTGTGAGATATTTCTCACGATAAATCAATTTTCGAGACCAAAATAAACACAAAAATATATAAAAAAGTTGAGGTTTATTTATTAAATTATAAGCAATTTAGTTTTTGTTATATATGGAAATAAAATGAAACGGAGATAAGATAGAAATAATAATGTAACGGAGATAGAGACTTACTTATAACTTAATAAATAAATTTCAACCAACTATATAGCAACTTTTATTTTAGTTTATAAAATAAACTTTCAAAAATATTCCATAAAAATATTAACAGTTTATATAGTTATATTAATATAAAAAAAAGAATAATTTTATAAACAATATTTAAATAAAAAATGGATTAGATAAAATATAATTCTTATGTAATATATATATATATATGTGCAAATATAAATTATTTTTTAATATAAAATTTTTATAATTATAATTATCATATTTATTTGCAGATTTTATAATATTATATCATTTGTATTATTTATCATATCATTATTTACAATATTTATATCATTAATTAAAATAATAATTTATAGCACATATTTATTATATATATATAATATATATATTACATCACTTAATATAAGATTAAATAACTAAATGTTAATTGTAAAAAGCCTTGAAAAAAATTGAAAAAATAAAAAACTTAAATCAATAAAAAATAATTATAAAAAAAGAACCTTTTTCCATTTTTTTCTTGATCAATGTTTCCAGATGCTGTACTTGTTGATTTCCAGGTTCAACCTGAAGAAACGATCTGACATACGCTAAAGCTTTTGTATATTCCTATAAATAAAAAAAATATTAAACGTAATATTAGATGTAATATAATATTAAATTAAATTGTAAATTAAGATGTGATGCTACATTTATTTTTAATTCAATAGTTTCCAAAATCTATACCTTTATTCTAGCATTTCCAATAGCTAAATAATAAAGACAATCTCGTTTTTCGCTATCACTATGATTGCAATATAAATCTTCCAATAACATTATTCCTTTTCTGATATCTGCAGGATATTTGCTTCTAACAAGACACCATGCATATTCAAATTGAGCTTTTTGTGTTATTACTGATGAACGTAATTGCTCATTATATATACGTTCAAATTTCTGAAACAAATAAATAATCCATATTTTAATAACAACATATGATGCAATATTTCTACAAATCCAATAGTAATTAACCTCTGAATGATGTCATCATTTTCAATCAGAATTTAAAATATAAACTTATTATAAACTTCGCAAAAAAATATTTACATTACAATTATGTTTTAAATCGAAAATTTTCTTAAACAGTCTATTATAAGTAAAAAAGAATGATATCAAAAGAAAATTAACAACCGGTATAAAAAACAAATTAAACTACATAACCTCTAAAATATTTTAAACCTATTCAATACAAAATGTAATAAAATCTTTCTTTTCAAAATACAAAGTTTGATATCAAACAATATTTAATATTGTATATAAAATATTTATTATTCACATGCTTAATATATATAAATAAAATGCTAATAACTTAATGAATAAGAATCGTTTTTTATAAAAAAAAAAAAATACCTTTAAATCATCAGAAGAAACAACCTCTTCGAGAACGTCCTCCATCTTTTAATATAAATTCTCAAGAATACTACGAAAAAATAATTTATCCTTTCCTAAAATTCTACCTTGAAAGCAAAGAACTCATTACAAAACTACCAACTTCGTTCCGGCAATCGAGCTGTCAAAGGTAAAGAAACAAGTAAGTGCACATAGGTATGTAATGCTTCTACTTCCATTCGCTATATACTGCTAAGAACAATATCGCGCCATTATATGTATGATTTAAACGACCTTACAGATAATATATATATATAAATTTGTTTGTTTTTTTTTTTTTATTAAAAGAAAATTTGAAAATATAACTAGTATAAATCAAAGTTATTTCATTATCTCTATATTTTAAAATATAATTATTTGATTAATAATAGAAATAATCAAATATATATTTGAATTTAAAATAAAATAAAATAAAATAAATATAATAAAGAAAAAAAGTTTAATTACACACATATATTGATGATAATATATTCAAATTATATTATATTTTAATATAATAAATATGTTTTATTATAAGTTTTATTATAAGTTAAGTTTTAATTTATTAACAATATTTTGCTTATTAATTATTCGCTAATTATTATTGAACATTTCATTCAACTGTTTTGTCAATGAATATAATGGCATGCCCATTACTGTATAAAAATCACCATCTATTTTTTCAATTAAACAACCACCAAGTCCTTGTACACCGTATCCTCCAGCTTTATCTCTTTAATAAAAAAATTTTTAAATATTTTTATATTTTGAAAAGTTATTACACATAAAAAGAACAAATATTTTATACCCACAGAGGTTCTCCTGATTTTGTATATGTCCATATTTGTTCTTCTGATATATCACCAAATTTTACTTTTGTAGATTCATAAAAATTTACTTCTTTCTTTGGTGTTTTTAAACATACTCCAGTATAAACTACGTGTTCTTTATTTGCTAAACTAAAATTTTTCCAATTAAATCAAACTAATATTAAAATTATTTCTATCTAAAATAAATATTTTACCTTGATAACATTTCAAAAGCATGATATTTGTTCTTTGGTTTTCCATAAATAATATTACCCATTGTAACTATAGTATCAGCGCCAATTATTAAAGAAGGTGGTATAACATCTTCTTGTAATCTATTATATACATCTTGTACCTTATATTTTGCTAAATCTTGTACATATTCTCCATAATTTTTATATATTGAACTATCTAAATTTTCATCGTACATTGATGGCACTATTTCTACATTTATACCCTATTACATACACAATAAATAAAATAAATTTTCATTCAACATCTATTATTATATATGAAAAATTAGAATATATAATATTATTTAAATATAATAGTATTTAAATTTCAAGTTAACATTATGAAATTTATATAAAATATAATATCATATTACAATATATAATCATATATCATATATCATATGCATTAGCTATATTAGTTTAGCTATAATTATATATCATTTTAGCTATATTTTAGATATAAATAAAAGCTTTTAAACAATTTATTTTTTTATAGGTTATTATTTGTTATTTTTTATAAATATAAAAAGTTTATCTAGAATTATATTTCTGAATATTATAAAAAAAATTACCAATTGTTTCATTATTTCATATCGTCTAGGAGATGCACTAGCTAATATAACTCTACTTGTTGTTAAAGCTTGTATTGTTTGTTCTAACATTATTTTTCTTTTTTTAAAATATATGAATAAAATGATTGAAAATATAAAAACTTTAAAAAAATTTAGTATTAAATCTTTAATTTATATATAAATTTTTAATTTATATTATATCTTTTAATTCTCTTATATTTTTAAGAAAAAAAAATAAATTATATTATTATTAACAAAGAAATGAAGAGAGAAGAAAATATGTAAGTAACATGTTACGTTATTATTACATACTAAATCCAACATTTCCAGATGTCGCCAGTGAGATGAGATCTTCTGTTAAAGAGATATGAATAAGTGAGATATAATAAGAGAAAATTTTTCTGTTTTTAATTAAAAACATTTTATTTATTATTATTATAGAATAATTTTAGTTATTAGTTTTATCTTTTCATTAAATAGTTTAATTCTTCAGAGAAACACATTTGTATTTGAAAAAAAGGAAAGTATATTTTTCAAAATAGGTTATCTGTATAAAAAATTATATAACTTATATCCTGCAATTGAAAACTTAAATTTCAATTAATAAAAATTAACTGAAAATATTTTTAACGAAATATATATTTAAATGAATAAATAAGTATGTATAAAAAATTGAATTTTTAATATATATTATATAAAATTAAAATCATTTTATTAATACAAAATGCGGTATTCAACATATATTTTCACAATTATTTTGCTGAATATTCTAAATTAATATTGATTAAAAATATTTAAAACTAGTTATGATAACATGCACAAGATATCCATCAATACTTTACATCATTCTAATTTATATTTTACTATTATGAAACATACTTTAAAAATTATTTATCGAATTTGTAAATTAGATTTCTACTATCAATAAAATTTTTGAAAAAACGATTAAAACAATTTTCGTATTAATAGATTCATTGAGAAGTTAGGATGAATAATTGAAAGATGACAAAAAAATGATTCAGAGAGAAAAGATAAGTAAAAGGAAGATAGGACAAATATATAGCGTGGTTTAAAAATATTAGAGCGGGGAGGAGAACTATTTTCTAGGCACAGAAGATTCTAATACATCGTAATCGGTAAATTACGTAAATGCCGCATGCCATGAACGAACCTAAAGGTCAGTCAGTCCGAGGTCTTACATAATCGTAAGGCGAAAGGTTGACCCATCTTTACGCTGTAGCCTTCCAACTGAACAAAGATTTCGCTGCATTTTTTTGTCATATCTCGCATTGTTTCATTGATGCAACATCTTATCAATTTCATTAATTAATTTAAAAATCTCTCGAATGGAGATAAAACGAGACTTATGAGACTTATGATGATCTTGTTTCGTTTGAGAAATTTGTATAAAGAGGATAAATCCTTGATAATGATGAAAATTATTTAATTATATTTAAAAAAAAATCTTTCTTTTCTTGAAAGATTAATATCGTAAAAAATGATAGTGATATTTGATATCATTGAAAATAATCTTTGATACCGTTAAAAGAACGTACCTTTAGTCAATATACTTTTGCAGATATTAAATTAATTGAAAAATAATTAAAAGAAATATTAATATTTTTTTGACAAATTATTGTATTGTTGTTATTTTATGTCAAATAATTTATAAAAATTAATGTATTAATTTTTTAAACTTATGTTAGATAATAAAATGAAATAATAAAATGATATTATTTATATATATTAATGATTCACTTTATATGATTTTCAGAATTAATCACTGGTTCAATAATTAAATGGAATTTACTTTCATTAATTATATTGATGAATAATTAAATGAAAAATTATTAATATATCATTTATATTATTGATATGTTAAAAATTTTGTGAAATTGGTTATCACATATAATATATGTTTTTGATAAAATAAGATTCTGATATCTAAAAGTGCTGTATCAAATTAAAGATCATAAATAAGATATTATGTTATTTTTAAAATTCGTATTCTTACCATTAAATTTGTTAAATAAAAATTGCACTTTTTATTTTTGCTTATAATTTTAAAATGTATAATTTTAAATACATATTTTAATTATTTGTTTACAATCTAAATAATTTTAATACTCAATAAGAATCAATAATCAATAAAATTTTAATTATTTGCAATTATTTTATACTTATTCATCTATATAAAATCAATTTCATTGCTTTATTAATGCATTATAAACATCTAATTTTTTATTTTATTTGTTTGTTATATTTTTATTAAACATTTAATTGATTATATTTGAAATAGTAATATAAAACATTATGTTTTCCATTACATACTGTAAATAATATTATACAAATAAATTATTTAAACGTAGATAATTCTATTTAGAATTGCTGTTGAGTTATAATCAATAAATATAAATTAATTGAATATGATTTATTTTCTGAAAAGAATAAAGCATACATATATAAGATTCAAATGACAAAGTTATTTTATTTTATCATATTGAAAATTTAGTTATTTTCAAAAGAATTGGAAATATATTGGTTACAGTTGAAAATGCAAATTACCCGGAATTCTCGAAGATGATTTCATGAAAATAACACGGGTTATCTGAAAATCTACATAATCAAAGGCTATGACGAGCAGGATATTAAAAACTAGTTATTAAAGAATATTCAAAGACAGAATTCCAGGATAAAGGTATGATGATGTATGCTATTGTTATTTCATGCTTTTACGGAATCATAAATGGAAACAAAGATCTTGAATGTGCAGAAAGCACTCTTCCAAAAAAAAAAAAAAAAAAAAAAAAGAAATTTGTTGCAATCTTCGTATATTCTTGTAAGATTCAGTGCAAATTATTTATTTTGTTCCATATTAAAAATACTTATAATCAAGATTTTCAAAGAAAAAAGAAAAATAGAAGAAAAAATTAGTAATAGAAAATAGAATATGATTATATAGTAAGATATTATTAAAAAAAGAAAAGGACAGAAAGAACAAGAAACTATAATGCATTCATATTTTTCATCTTCTTATATTTCTATAATTGTAAAATATTATGAATATTAATCATTACAAAAATAATAATCGCAGAAAAAGATAAATTGTATTAGTTAAATTGTTATTAAATTATATTAAGTACGATACATCTTATTACTTCATCTATCTACTTTTATTGACTTCACATATCTTTCTTATCTCTCATGAATCTGAATTTTCTTTATCCATATCGCGATTTTTATTATATACATCACAGTTAAAAGAAAATTAATTCAATACGAATTTTTTGATCATCTTGGGATAAAACATTAGATATATAAATTACACACAAATAGATAGATATATAAATTAATGTAATCTCTGAAAATTAATAATTGAGAAAAATCGAGAAATTCTTGCAATTTTTATCCTTATTCGCAAAATCAAGTACCAAATGTGGTGAAATTGGTGAATTAACTAATAAGTGAAATGACTAGTATAGGTCAACCTCTATTTCTATGTATGCGATGAAACGTAACTGGATATCGTAAAAATGATGCAAGTGACCAAACATATTGAGTAATTAAGGATGTTGCACTTTGCTTCTACATTGAACATTACATAACAATATTATGTATTGACTGTCGAATGCTGTTAATTGTGATACAAATTTAATACATGTGACGACTATAAATGTGGTTTTTTGCAGAACTAGACGCATCATTGCAACATTACATAGTTTTATTGCCTTTTTTTAATTTTATTTATTCACGTTAGACAATTTCACATGTTTATGTTGTAAAGTTATTGAAAGATTTATCTTCAAAAGACTTCCTTAATACTTTCGAAATACATTTTTCTTTCAGTAATGAAAGCATAAGTATTATAAAAAATATATAGGATTTCTAATCTTATTTCTAATAGGATTTTATATCTTAATAAATCAATCAAAAATTGTAATAATCATATAATCATTTTAAAAATTATATTTATATTTAGTCTCGAAAAAATTAAAAGATAAATTTAAGATAAAATAAATTATCGATGGCGAGACTATGAAATCTAATGTATTTTGTTCGTTCATTTATTTTTATAATTATTTATTATATTAAAATAATGTTATTTTAAGACTTTGATATATTTATTATATAGTTATTTACTTTAACTCTCAAATATTAATTTTCCATAATAATTTAATGTAAATCCAAGTTGTACATTGAATCGATTTTTCTTACTCTTTTCAACTTATCTATTTTTATTAAAAACATTTACTGTTGAACTGACATTGATACTGTTTGAACTTCGGATTAAGATAATAATTATACTTAAATATAAATTACCAGTCATTCAGTATTTGCTTATACCAAATTTTACCAATATAGATATTATTTAAATTAGAAATCCATTTAACATATATAAATAATCAATTAATTCTTTCCACGACATTGATAAAATGAAAATCTCGAATTCAATTTTAATATTAGCAAATTGACAAGTATAACAAATTGTACCTTGTGCACTTTCCTTGCATAAACAGTTTTCAAGTGAACAGAATAATCAGTTATAATTTGTAAATTTCATTTCTAGAACTTCACTCGGTTTATTACCGAACTTGTTATCGTTATGCAAGAGACTTTATTAACACTGTTAACTCGTAACACTGTGACTTGTAAAATTGTGCTAGTAACATCAATTCAATTGTGCAAGAGAGATGATCTTCGCAAAAACAAAATATCGTAATTAACAAACAAATAATAATAATGGAAATAAATAACAAACCATGAAGACTATCATATCAATGGACAAAGCTGATTGTATTATATAAAAGAAGAAGAAAAAAAAAAAGAAACTTAATCGTTACCTCAAAAGAAAGTTTCACCAAAATTTCATCGGTCATTCCATGGCGTAAGAACAGGATGGAAAACTCGTAATTGTATCTCCATTTAATCGCCACTGCGAATACGTTCAGTGGTCATCCCGTCCTTGAATTATTATCATTGATCTGAGCACGTTTTGCAATGTGCTTTCTCGCAGGAATTTGTAATAATTCGACGTTCGAAGTCGTGAAAATACACCTCATCGGCATCCCTTAAGGCTTCGTATGGTAAAATCAGGTAAAATCGTGGCCGGCGAGCCGAGAGGCAGCGGTAATCGCCAGGCTGTCGTTATTAAATGTGATTACGCAACTCGAAAAGTGGCTTCAAAGGACGCGCATTATGACACTATAGCGCGTAGCCGTTTCTAGAGGGCGCTAACATCATGCCTCGAGGTGTCTGCGTTTAGCATTACGGCTAATACGTTGAACAGGGGCGTACTCAAACGGAACTTGATCCCGGAACACGATGATCTTTCTCTTTTTTCTTTCTTTTTTTTTGCTTTTTTCTTTACAGATAATGAAATCTTATCGCTAGAATAATAATGCAATTGTATTCTCCTTTGTTTTCGTATCCGTTTTCAAATTGAAATTATAGATTCTAAGTTATATTGTATTTTAGTTTTTAATAAGTAAGTTATAGTCATAGTTTCTTTAATAAAGGAAATTTGTAGATAATATCTATTTAGGATGATATATTTTATTTATTTCTCTATTTTGCTATAATATCTTAAATTTATGCGTATACAAAAATTATTAGAATAAAAATTTGATAATTGTTTGTGTTCTGAATAATGTGCAAAAAAAATAAAAAATAATTTTATAGAACGTGAAAATTTATGGAGTACAATTTTGTATATCATCTTCAAAATACGCGTAGAGAAATAGAAATTTGTATATTAATCTTAAAGAGTTTCCATAAAATATCAAAAACGGAAAAAGTTAGTTCCGATACTTCAAGTACTCTGCAAACTTGCAAAGTATAAACTATAAATTAAAGTTTATGTATTATCTACATTATATTATTATATTAATTAATAATATCTGTATATAATAATAAAATGTATTATTATATACATACATGATATGTATTAATTTTTAAATTAATATTTTATTGTGCATTTAAAACTACTAATAATTCTCTTCTTTTTTTCTTTCTTTAAATAATAATAATGAACTAAATTAAATTATAAATATTATATATATGATATTATAAATGAATTTTATTTAATTTGATTATTAATTATAATTTAATTGATTATTAAACAATATAGATAACCGATTTAACGATTACTTCGTATATATTTTTTTTTTTATAATAAAGAATATATAATAAATTCAAATAAATTAATCTTTTGATTCGATCAAATATAACGCATAACGCATAAAGTAAGAATATGATTAAATTTATTATAAAACAAAGAGTATTTCACAGAAATACTTAAATAATTATCTAATTATTTTTCATTTAAAATTTTTCCATATATTAAATTTTTTTAACTAATTTTATTAACTATTAATTTTTACTTAAGAAAAGTACATAATTATTTTTCATTACCAACTCTTTTCAATATATCAATACTTGTAATAATAGATAATTTATATGATATATCTATCTCTATGTACATAACTTACCTGCTCGTCTCATCGCCTCAGCTGACTTCACGGACGAGTTGCATGATCCATACTCGCGTGTACAGTCTCGCCAAGCAATTGCGTCTGATCGATACTTTGAAATGGAAATGGAATGTAAATTACACTTTTCGAATATAAGAGATTGATTAAAATATCTCGAAGCAATGGATGCAATGCAGTCACCGTGTGAATAGTAGACTTTTCTAATTTTATAACCCTAATGATGTATATAATGTAATATCAGAAAATATTTACGAAATAGCATAAAGTTAATTTGAAACGTTTGGAAAAAAAAAAAAAAGAAAAATTTGAATTTTTACTCAGAAACTTATATTTACACGTATATGGGATATTTTTGTTTGTTATATGCATTTCATAATCTTATTATATGATATGAAATTAAATTAATTTACCTCTCTCTCTCTCTCTCTCTCTCTACTATAGTATA